AGCGTGAGAACCACAAAAGGACGGACGGGAGATAGAAACAAAAGGACGATAGATGTTTGACGGGAAAGAATGAGCAAACAACACCAGAGCACCCGCCAGCCACCCACAGTTTCCGTCAGGGCTGGAGTTTTTACCTTCGAAGTTGTAGAAGTCGGGGTCTTTCTTCTTGTGTTGTTCCCTGGCGTATCTTCGCACGTACTGGTCTCTGTCTAGTCTGGGAAGGAAAGAAGGAACATATAGAGATATATAGAGATATATAGAGATATACAGAGATATACAGAGATATACAGAGATATACAGAGATATACAGAGATTTACAGAGATATACAGAGATATACAGAGATATGACAAACAGAGACAAAAATAGAGACATACAGAGATATAGAGAGACACAAAAAGACATACGTACATATATATATAAATACAAGGGTATATATATTCGAAGAGATGTTACCAGAGAGTATGACAGGGAAGAAGGATGAGCAGACCACACCAACAAGCCGACCGACTTATGCAATGACTTAAGCAGCTGCACACACACACACCAACAAGCCGACTGACCTGTGCAAGGACTTAAGCAGCTGCACACACACACACACACACACACACACACACACACACACACACACACACACACACACATCAACAAGCCCACTGACCTGTGCAAGGACTTGAGCAGCTGCACCATCTCTGTCTTGGTCTCGTGCCACATGGTGGCGCAGGCATACAGCATTGGGACATTCTCTTCAAGGTCAGCGTTCAAATCCGCCGGTGCTTGCTCATTCTCTTCTTCTTCTTTCTTGTTCTTCACATTGTTCGATAACTGAGGAGGAACAAATTATGGTTTTGTTTGTTTTGTTTTAGTAGAGGTTTGTGTGTGTAGTATAGGGTTTTACGGCGCTCGCAACTGCTAAGGTCATAATATGAGCGCGCGAAACACAAGTTGTTTACTTTCGCAAAAGTTCACAGCACGATTGGTTAACTAATTGACTTTGAAATGCTAAAATGTTAAAATATTAAAATTCAGTGTAAATATATTTGTGATTTAAAACAACTCTTATAGGTAACAATAAACATTCAGTGTAAATATATTTGTGATTTAAAACAACTCTTATAGGTGACAATAAACATTCAGTGTAAATATATTTGTGATTTAAAACAACTCTTATAGGTAACAATAAACATTCAGTGTAAATATATTTGAGATTTAAAACAACTCTTATAAGTAACAATAACAATTTTAAATAGTACGTTTTCATTTTTCATTTTACAACTTGCCATAAAGGCAGTAGAGGTTTTACGGTGCTCGAAACTGCATAAGGTCATATGAACGCCAAGGGGTGGATGTCAACAGAGAAACCCTTACAGGGAATCAGACTTACTCTGCTCACCTCTCTTGCCTCGAAAGCACAAAGTCTGCTTCGATTATCAAAGCACTCCGGAAATAGCGGGTCACAAGAGAGTGACAAACATACAAAAGAAGTAGAGGGAAAAAAATGACGATAGAAAGGATTAGGGGAAAAAATCAGCAGTTCCCTGGCGCAGTCCAGGCAGAGTTATGAGCATGACATTGTTGGATCAGCCCATTTACAATTCTACTGTGCATTAGGACATGTTAATATCCCGCCTTTGGGAACGGCCTAAAGACCCTTCAGTCAGTAGCACCGCCCGGGGTGGAAAAAAATGGTTTATATTATGTGAGGCAGCGTGGTGGAATCAGCCTCTCGTCAAAATAACCAAAGTGAAGAGACTGGCACTTTTCCCGCAGGTTTGTGGATTTTTATCGAAATTTTTTTGTTTTGTTTGTTTTTTGTTTGTTTTTTTTATATTTTTTATTTTGTTTGCTCAACACTTTTCATGCCCATTAAAGAACACATTTCTGTGTGGACTTTTACTGAAAAGCGTTGATTACGGGCACGAAACCACGGACGTTTTCAGTTTCTGCGAACTCTCAAGCTAAGGAAAGAACCCATTTTTGGCGGCCATTTTCTCACAAATTTTACCTCTGAAACTAGCAGATGACCCCCACCTCCTTCATTCGCAAATATCTCGACTTGTATTTTAGGTAAATGGATATTTTTTTCATCCAAACCAAGACAAATGAACAAGCTTTAAGTTTATAAACTCCGCAGGCCCCCAAAATTGACGAGCGCCTGGTTCCACAGTGTGTGTGTGTGTGTGTGTGTGTGTGTGTGTGTGTGCGTGTGTGTGTGTGTGTGTGTGTGTGTGTGTGTATGTGTGTGTGT